CCCCCCCCCACTTAGATTTGCCACTGAAAATTTGTCTCCAGAGATGTGAAGTTATTCAAATGATTCAAAATATAGTCCATCTCCATCAAGATTTTTACCACATTTCCCGGCAAATTTCTGAAATTTCCACCAAAAGGACCATCCATCATATTTACTTCCGGTTGTCAATTTCCTTCACGCGAAATAGTGTTCATAACTTTGTTTACATTACTTCGCGTGAATCAGGCTGACATTGTTTCTTCTTTCAATTAATGGCTAGAAAACGATTTTAATAACAGAAGGTACGACATTATTGAGAGATTCTTATTTTTATTTTAAAATTAATCACGATTTACACGTTCAAACACTCAACAAACGGCTTCAACACGACTTCAACATGGCATGATTTCCGGTAGCTTCACTATCGAGACAATCATTCCGTCGGGAACACGAAGGTGACGTCATTTTCGGGATGTCGTTTTGAGTCTCGCGAAATAGCCTCTACCTCCTTGTGAACAGTAGTGCTAATCTAATCACATGAAACGCAACATTTGCAAACTTGGCCAAACCAGTTTGACCCCAGTTCCCCATATTTGGTCAGTAATATGGTGATTAGCACATGTCAATCAAACGGAGGGCTGTTTAAAGGTGGTGTGGGTTTCCCCTTACATAATTGCTTGACAGAGTTTTAAGATATGTTTTATTTGCTAGTGCCAGATAATGATATTACAAGTGATTTAGAACAATTTTCCTTTTTTTCCGACGACAGCAACCGACCGATTCTACAGTTGTTGTTTTTTGCTTTAATTCATCAAACTTCTTTCAACGCTATGACTCCGTAAACTTTTGAGTGACAGAGGCCAAGAGTCCAGACATTCAGAATGAGAGATCACAGAACATAAAACAACTCTTAGCTACACCTAACGTTTTTTAACAATTTGATCTCATGACATTACTAGCTGTGATGCGTAATCAATGCATCGCTCTTATCTGGTTTTAGTTGTTCAAAAAAATCCTCGTTCGTCGTTCAGACTTTTCCATGTAAATGTTACTTTCATTAGAAGAGGGCACCTGATAATCCTATCTCACATCACATGTCAATCAGTATACAGAACGGTTCTAGAACCCTAATGTCTTTTAAAATACCTATGTCCGCTATGAGGTGGTCAAAATTTGGTTTTTCGCCGCAGAACACCTTCGGTTTGCGCAACTAAATACTTATTCCAGTATCTTGTCTGTGGAAAACTATGTGGTTGTGTTTTCAAGACCGTACGTTGTGGTAATATGAATAAACTTATCTCGCAACACCGTAATGATCCTGTCTTTAGGTTCTTTACCAAATCAAATCTTATAAGCTGAAAAAATTCCTATTTCTGTTTAAAAACATCACCAGTACAGTATCGTTCCGTCCTGTTCCGTATGCATGGGTTGGACGAACAAGTTCTTTGGTCACCCTGTGTTCTCAAGAAAGGATACCAGCACGTGACAGTAAATACCACCATATTTGTATGTTACGTGAGGAGCGATCCATACGTGACTGAACTATCAGACATCGAATTTTATCGACGTTGCTGAAGCAAAGGACGAAAGATCTCTAGGAGATTCATATGTTTTAGTCGAATTTTGCAGCGAAGATGTTCAAGGGACCATTCTAAGGTAACTCGCTATGTATTTGATAGTGGTAGCAGATACAGAAACAAAAGCCAACGCTTTGCTGTAGAGGTCGATATTTCGAAGCTTCGATCGAACGTTCCGAGCGAACAGTTCAGAGCTGTTGTGATGGAACTATTGTCTAACCAAAACTATATATATGATTTGCTATTAAGTAGATCATTTATTCAGTATTATTCTACTGTTGTGATACGAGAATTACAAGGAACGGACCAGCTGTTTCTAAGTCCGAAGACAGACTAGATTTCTCAGTTTCGATCCTTCCTTTGATCGCTTTTAAAGTAGCTATATGGCAAGATATAGTCGATTATAACCTTGCATGCGATAAAAAGTCATCTAACGACGTAGATTTTCCTAATTTATAGACAAATTAGGTTTAGCTTAATAATTAACGCAATTGCTGTTTGTTTCATTAGATCTGGATGTTGTTTTGCTTTAAAATATCGATAAGTAGGCACGTTCGAGTGATATGTTTACCGAGTGACATTGCCCCCAGGCTATATAGACAAAAAGTACTCTTGTGTCTGAGAGGCTCTATAATTTTTTCATGTGTGACAGCATTTTTTGTTCTTTGTTTTGATGCTATTTGATAATTGGAATAGGACTCAATCCGGTATGCTAAACTATACCGGCTGAACGCAGGCTAGGAGAAGTCAGTGGGGATTGGGATTCCCCCCTCTGCTTCCCAATTCCCTCTCCTCCTCGCCATAGGGCCACTATGCAGGCTATATTAAAATAATGGACGCAGAAATATATATATTTTTGTTATTAAATACTAATCATTGCCAATGGCCTTAAGACTCACTATTTCGACAAGAGAATCCTAAAATGTCGGGTTAGGAGTTCCACAGACTGAATTGACTGAGGCTCAGTCTTGCTTCATCATAGTTAAAACTATGGCTCTATTGTGCAGAACTAGTTTGAGGACTAGAGGGTGGGAGGAGGGAGGGAGGGGGAGGGTGTGTGTTGAAGACAGAGTAGGGTCATAGGCCAATGCACTTTGCATTTCATGAATGCTTTTCATTTTTTGCAAGGATTTCTACAAGATACTTATCATTGCTAGACCTTGATCAACTCAAGTCTTTGTTAAATAATGATTCAAGATTTTGAAAAATAATATTGGGGCTTGTCCACACAAAGGTAGG